GTGAGCGGTACTCACCCCAAACACACGGATATTTACACTTTCTCGTCGTCTCAGTCATACATCTGCAATGGCTGCTGTTTGCAATTGATCTACTATGCTTGTGTCTGGTTGTCTTGTCTCATAAGGACTGCAGATGGAGTTTGTTGTGCACCCCCCCCCCCCCCATCACTTCCTTCTCTTCCTACTGCTTCTACTTCTTCTCCCCTCCCCCCGCCTCCTCTCCCTTCCCTTCCCTTTTACCTCTCCCCCTCCTCCTCCTCTTACCCTTCCCCCATGTCCCCTCCTTCCTCCTTCTCCTCCTCTTCCTCCACCACCACCTCCTCCTCCTCCTCCTCCTCCTCCTCCTCCTCCTCCTCCTCCTCCTCCTCCTCCTCCTCCTCCTCTTCCTCCTCTTCCTCCTCCTCCTCCTCCTCCACCACCACCACGTACTCCTCCTCCTCCTCCTCTTTCAACACCACCAGCACTACCTCCTTATCCTCCTCCCTATCCACTTGACTATCTTTGGCTCTTCAACCCACTTCATCACCACCACCTCCTCCTCCTCCTCCTCCTTTTCCTCTTTTTTCTCCTCCTCCTCCTCCTCCTCCCCCTCCTCCTCTTCTTCTTCCTCCTCCTCCTCCTCCTCCTCCTCTCCCTCCTCCTCCTCATCTCCCTCCTCCTCCTCCTCCTCCTCCTCCTCTCCCTCCTCCTCCTCCTCTCCCTCCTCTTCCTCATATCCCTCCTCCTCCTCTTCCTCCTCCTCCTCCTCCTCCTTCCTACCCTTCCCTGTCTACACTGACGCTTAAGACTCCTTGTGATTATGATAACTGTTGCAGAAATATTGGTAGAACAAATATTCCTCATTCTAATGCAAAATTATGATCATAATGGGGAAAATATTAATGGTGATAAGAATCATTAGGGTTTGATAATCACAACAGTTACGATAACAAAACATGTAATAATAATAACAAGGAAAGTAACAGTAGGAATAATAAAAATTATAATATGAAAACTAACAGTAATGATAGCAGTGACAACAACTAAAAAAAATGAATATCGTTTAACAACATATACACAAAACAAAACGTCGCTCGTCCTTGGTAACAAAATCATGGCGCACCAACGTTATGGACAATACACACCATAAATTGCGCAGTCACACACACGCATATCTTCAACCCCTTGTTATAATACATCCACGCGATCGAACACCACATAAAGCGATCGAACACGACATCAAGCGATCAGACACCACATCAGACGGTCAGACACCAATTCAAGCGATCAGACACCACATCAGACGATCAGACACCACATCAGACGATCAGACACCACATCAGACGATCAGACACCACATCAGACGATCAGACACCACATCAGACGACCAGACACTGCATCAAGCGATCAGACACCAGATCAAGCGATCAGACACTGCATCAAGCGATCAGACACCACATCAGACAACCAGACACTGCATCAAGCGATCAGACACCACATCAAGCGATCAGACACCACATCAAGCGATCAGACACCACATCAGACGATCATACACCACATCAACGACCAGACACTGCATCAAGCGATCAGACCCACATCAAGCGATCAGACACTGCATCAAGCGATCAGACACACATCAGACGACCAGACACTGCATCAAGCGATCGACACCACATCAAGCGATCAGACACCACATCAGCGATCAGACACCACATCAGAACGATCAGACACCACATCAGACGACCAGACACTGCATCAAGCGATCAGACACCACATCAGAACGATCAGACACCACAATCAGACGATCAGACCCACATCAGACGATCAGACACCACATCAGACGATCAGACACCACATCAGACGATCAGACACCACATCAGACGATCAGACACCACATCAGACGACCAGACACTGCATCAAGCGATCAGACACCGCATCAGACAATCAGACACCACATCAAGCGATCAGACACCACATCAGACGATCAGACACCACATCAGACGATCAGACACCACATCAAGCGATCAGACACCACATCAGACGACCAGACACTGCATCAAGCGATCAGACACCACATCAGACGATCAGACACCACATCAAGCGATCAGACACCACATCAAACGATCAGACACCACATCAGACGATCAGACACCACATCAAGCGATCAGACACCACATCAAGCGATCAGACACCACATCAGACGATCAGACACCACATCAAGCGATCAGACACCACATCAAGCGATCAGACACCATATCAGACGATCAAACACCACATCAGACGATCAGACACCACATCAGACGATCAGACACCACATCAGACGATCAAACA